AAATATAGAAAATAAGAACCTRATATATATATTAAATATTACATAAAAACACAATTAACTTGAATAATCCTTTCTAAGTCAAATTAGTACTGAGAGACAATTTTGCAGCAGCTTKTAAGAGGCAATGCTATTGTTGGTTCATTAGGCAGTGTTCTCCTGGGGGGAAGCATGCTGAGTGCGGATGTAGACAGTGAGTGTTCYACTTTATAATGCAGGATCATATTTAAAGGTCATCAATATCATACGTGGTTGAGGAATGCTACTGAAGTGTCCAGCATTTGTGCCTTGAAGGACCACCAGCCCACCACCTCCCACTTTGTGCTTGGCTGCCTGAAAATGGGTACCAAGCAATAAAAGCAGACTTACTGCTGAGCTGCAGAGGTCCGGCTGATCCACTCCAACACCCAGCACTCARCAGCAACTATTTAAAGACTGTGTTTCAGTACACTCAGCTGATGACAACAAAAATAATACATTATTTTATTTCAAATGAAACACAACCAAGTGTTTTAATACCCATCTCACAATAGCAATACATACAATAGAAATGCAGAGGATGACATTGAAATGAAGATTATTTCTGTTGCTCAGAATCAAGATTAATGTATTTTCCTTCACTGTGGTGAGTGTACTGTTTGTGTGATCATAGCTTTTGCCAAAGCACAGTGASGCAAAAAAACGTTTACAGGTTGCCATTAGGCAGTGAGAGAGAAAGTGCTTTTCTTTTTGAATTTGGGACAGCAATCTGCAGCTGTGACAGAGCTGAGGGGCTAGACAAACAAAATTAATATTTGGGTTTCTAGAGATTATCTCTCTAGTATAAAGATTAGAAAGAGTAGTAGAAAAAACATTCAAGTACACTTTGTTTCCTGAAAGTATTCAGAAAATAGGTTCAATTTTTCTTGGAGTGGTAACTGTTTATTAGTAACAACTAAWAATTCCTCAAAGCCTATTCCTGGCATTTTGATACTCCCTTTTTGTCAAGGAGCTGTTCAAGCACTTCCATGAACTTCAGGCCAAACATTTGCCATGTCTCAGAACAATGATTATATTGGTGGGGGAATGAAATCCTTGATCTTTTACAGGACATTACCTTACCTAATGTTAAGTGTTATTGTTAGTAATGTTAAAATGTTCTAATTAGATGTGAACAAGARGTTTTGCAGGTTTGGTTCTTTTAGAAAATTTTTCATTACTCCACACAAGACTGACAAGTAAGGTTTCTCTTTGGAAGAGAATATTCTAACCTCATGGTTGTTTAAAGCTTATTTTTTTGGGTTTTTTTTAAATAATAGGTTCAGAAATTATGCAAATTATACTGTGACCTGTAATGGATAAAACATCACATGCATTTTTTAATTGTCCATTTATCTGCTTAAGTTTCCATTGATGTTTGTGACAAAACTCTTAACTCAAGTTAGAACCACTTATTTCAGAAAGATCTGTCAAACTATAGTGTAGGATATCTCAATTGAAATAACAGTCAAAATAACCAAACAACACAAACAACATATTTCTCAGATTAATTTTTATTTTCTSATGTGTAATTCATGATTTCTTGATCTGAGTTTCTCACCAAATACTATGATTTAGAAAAAGTTTTCTGCATCTTAAAAAATTAGCTATTCTTAGGCTTCCTAGGCAGAAATAATCTCATTATTTTAATGCTTTTTAACTGCAGCAGATTTGTTYGTTCTTCATTAAATATTTACAGTTTCACTTTCATGGCCTCTTCAGGCCAGGTGTAGGAGTCAGCCACAAAGCTGTTGTAATCWGTACTGTACACCTGAGAGCGGATGAAGGCTTCTAGGTCCTTGGGCTGAGGATAGGTGGAGGCAGTGTTATTYCTGTAGGCTTCTTCTGCAACCTGGAAAGATGCAAGAAAATCCTAATCAGTGCTGATAAACTATCGGAATACTTCACAGGATTTAAAAGCAAGTCTTAGTTCAAAATCAAGATGAGACTTCACCTTCTCTGGTGCTGCAGTCACCTGTGCTCACACTGGATCCAGATTTGTACCCAGTGGTAAAACTAGAACAGGATGATGTTTGTGTTCAAACTGTTACAAATACAGTGCTTCTTCTTGCTCAGCTGTATCTTAGCTTTTACTGTGCAGTGGTGGATAAATATTCCACAACCCCCAAGCACTGAGTTACAATTTCTGCTTTTCTATCATCACTCTATCCTGATTTACCATCTTCCCAAAGCGCTGTAAGAAAAATTATTTGTTCAAAGCTCCCATGCTCCCTGCACATTAGTGAAGTTTTTATTTGCCACAGCTTGATGATATATTTAAAAAAAATAAAAGTAAACTCATGGGAGAAAAATAGTTCACAGGATGGCTGGGGGAAATACAAATATTTGCTCGCTCTTTCCTCACCCAGACCATGCCTAAGTGAATCAATTATGCATCACAAATACAGCTGYGACAAAATTAAGTTTAGAAGGGGTTTCAGCCCACTCAAAACATCAAAGTAGCCTCTCACATCTGAAGAACACCTACTTCAGAAACAAATATCTTCAGACTGGACATTCATCTATGAAAYAAAGAAATCTGGCAGACAGGTTTTATGCAGCAGCACTTTGTGAAAAGATCTGCTTGAAATCTATTTGGCAAACAACGCTAATGCTCCTCCTTTGAATAAAAGGGATATTGAATGTTAAAATGTTCTTCTTGCTTTCCTCAGCTCTCTTCGAAACATAAATGTTTTAGTTTGGTCAGAAGCTGAGGCCCAAAGTCACCATATTTAAACTTCTTTTCTAATCTGAACCTCAACTCAGTTTGATTGAGAAGCACTTTGGGTGTTTATGTAAGAGCTTATCTTCAGGTCTGTGCACATAATTATCATGGCTGAATAAGATCTGGAATTCATACCAGATGTATTCCAAAATATTTTCATAGTATTCCTSTCCTGGAAAAGGCAGAGGCCATTCCTAAACCTCTTGGGTTGTACAAAGCAGAGTAAGAGTTTGCAGGAGTAAAGTTTCAGCACAGAGCAGGCAGAAAGAATCTCTTGGTAACATTTTCCTTCTTTTTGTATTTTATGTAGCATGCACAAACAGAGGAGGAATTTCTGTTACTGTGTTTCTGMCAAACACAGAAACATTTTGATTTCACCTGAGGAATTTAAGTAACATTTTGACATCTACAGAACAGTCATCACTTGCCTRAGAAGACATGAACTTTGAGAAGGGCTTTTTTTCTTAAATATACRGAATGAGTGAAGCTATGGAAACTGCTTCAAGCATGAAGGCTCCTTGTTATTCTTGCAAAAGAATATGGAATATGTGGAATTACTCACAGTAATGTGACAAAGAGAGAAAACAATTGAAGAAAAAAAGCTCACAGAAGACCAGCAAAAYGTTGAAACTGATAACCATGAAGGGCCTCAGGTGTGCAGCTGGCATGACTGTGGTGGACAGCACAGTCTGTGCTCTACACACATACACACACACACACTTGCTGTAGTTCCACAGCTCTCCTTATATCTGGATTACCTTTACATTCATGAATTTAAATTTAATTTTGAAACTGCCATGTGTTCAATACTGATTGATGTAAACCAACTTGTGTAGAGGTGTGTTAGGTGATAAAATCAAACTGTGTAGAGATRGTGGGAAGACAAAAAGCCACAAAAGGCTGAAATGACTTACCCTCACAGCGATTTTCAGTGATACATCCTGAATGGTGACTAATGGAGGGTAGAGACGACCTTCCTGTAAATTCTCTTCTGTAACTTGCTGAGCTATAACCTGAAATAACAGAGACATGTTCAACTTGGCATACAGATGCAGCTGTAGCTTGATTAYACAGTGGTATTGTCTTTAGCAAAGAAATGTTTCTGCTTTGTC